AAAAAAAAAAAAAAAAAAAAAAAAGAGGATCTGCTCCTCCTGAAGGGTCAAAAAAAAAAAAAAAATAAATAGAACGAAAGGATCCCCTCCTCCTGCAGGATGAAGGATGAAAAAAAAAAAGGTATGCAATTTTCTATCAGTTATCAGTTCTTATTTCAGTTAAATAAGAAAATATAGTGATAGACAGGTAGTAATAGCACCTGCTCTGCTTGCTCATACTGGCGGCGACCAAACCTTCGTATCGGGCAGGAAAATTTTTGGAATTTCGTGGAAACAAAAGATTTAAGGAAATTGGGGGAAACAAAGGTTTAGGAACCTCAGAACAGAATTTGGCGCGCAATATTGTCAGAGACTTACTGCGGAAAAAAAAAAAAGAATTTAAGGAGGATATACTTTCTGGCAAGAAAAATGAAATTTGCAAAAAGAAAGAAAAAAAGAAGAGGATTATTAATTAATTACAGATTGGAAGGGATTCAAGAATCTGATGAAAATCCTTGGGTGATTGGTTGACTGTGAATTTCAGGGCGAACATGATTTGCGTTCTGGTTTTTGATTGATTGATTGATTGATTTATTGTAAATTTCACGGTGACCATGATTTGCGATCTATTTTTTTTGATTGATTGATTGATTGATTGATTGATTGATTGATTTTGATGGATTGATTGATGGATTGATTGATGGATTGTTTGATTGATTGATGGATGGATTGATTGATGGATTGAAGGATTTACATCTGATGATTGATTTGTAGATTGATTGATTGAAAATCCTCGATTGATTGGAGATGTGAATCCTCCATTGATTGATTGATTGGCTGATTGATTGACTGATTGATTCGTTGATTCAACTTGATTGATTGGTTGATTGACTGATCGAAGTCTATGGTGGTGATTGATTGGCTGATTGATTGATTGATTGATTGGTTGATTCAACTTGATTGATTGGTTGATTCAAATTGATTGATTGGTTGATTGACTGATCGAAGTCCATGGTGGGGTTAGTGGAATGGTCGTCCTTGATTGGATATGTAAATCCTCGATTTTGATTAATTGATTAATTGGTTGATTGATTGATTGATTGATTGATTGATTGATTGATTGATGGATTGTTTGACTGATCGACCTCTATGGTGGTGTTAAGAGGAATGGCAAAATCTCGTGATGCTCACAAAAGTATTCGGTGTCAGTAAGAAGAAAGGGGAAACAAAAAAAAGAAGTGAAGTATATGCAAAATCTCGTGATGGTACACAAAAGTATTCGCTGTCATAGGAAAAAAAAGAAAAAAAAGAAAGAGAAAACGAACAAAAAAAAAAGAAAGAGGAAACGAAAAAAGAATACAAGTATGTGGACCGGCTGAAGGGAAGGGAAGGTGGCAGAGATCAAATAAAAATAAAAATATATTAAATTAAATGGAACAAAAAATCTAGGAAAAAAAAAGGAAAAAAAAAAAAGATGTATGTGGATCGGCTGAAGGGAAGGCGGGAGAGGAAAACAATGAAGTTAAAGAAAACAGCTAAAAAAAAAACCCTGCTGATTTCAAAATTTCAAAAACGCATGATGAAAAAGAAGATGAAAAAAAAAAAGAACATTCTGAAAAAAAAAGAATGATGAAGAAATGAAATCGGACGCGATGTCATTCTTTTTTCAGAATGTTTTTTTTCTTGAGCACGCCGCTCTGTATGCATATCCCGATCCCAACATATCCACAAATATCTGACGGCCGGGGTGAGATCCCCACTTACGGGATTTCTCATTCCCTCTTTTTTTTTTTTTTTCTTTTTTTTTTAGGCTTTTTCCGTTTCTAGCCGTCGGTCGTTGGGATCGCGGCGGGCAGAAATGGAGAAGAGTCGATCGACATACTACTAGTAGTAAGTGAGAGCCCTCCCCCCGGCATAGCGTGCCGCCTCTTTTT